CTTGTTCTATTATATAATAAGATAGCATTATAGAGTTAAAAATGTAAAAAATAAAATCGAGAATTTCCACACAAAAATAGAATTTGATAGCCATTTTAACTGTGAAGACAAAATAAAGTCCGAAATTTATATATAAAAGTGTCAGACTTTCCGGAACACTTTCAAAAGCTAAGTTGAGAAAGTAAATTTTTTGTGAAAAAGTTGTAATTTTAAATTCCCCCTGTGGGCAGGTAAAGGATTAGATTAAAAAATATATATATATCAAATGATAGGTAAAGACATCAAGCATCTATAAGAAAAAATTATATTGATTTTGTCATTTTTAAAAAAGTTATGGCAGTTTGATGTAAAAAATATTGAAAAAATTAGCAATTTTTAAATTTGTAATTTATTTAGAGGTTTCCCCCGTTTACGGGGAACGAGAAAATATTTTTTTAATTTTTGAGGGTTATGTCTTCGACTAGATACGATTTGTGATCTTTTGACGTATCGTTGAATGAAATCGGTCCGGCGAGAGCTGAGAAAAAAATAGACATAAAAAAAAACACTACATAGTAAAATTAATGTCTTGTCAGCTTCACATCGATGCCAAAAAGTTGGTACCCTTATAAAGGATGAAGGATAAACCAAATAATCATTCGACCACACAAAAATTGATAAATAAATAATAATTAAATAAGTTGACAAAAATGTTACAATTTTATATTTTAGAAGAAATCTTGACAATGACAAACAATCACTTTGCATATATATAAATTAACTATTCAAAAAATAATAAATATTAATAAAATTGATATATTGATATTAGAATATAAAAAATATTTAATAAAATAATAAAATAATTTAATTTTAAGGCTTTGTATAAAATAGAATTGAAGAATCTTACAAATAAAGATACAATGATAAAAAATAATTTTGAAATATTCACTTTAGAGAAGAATGATATAATTAAAAGTGTTCATGATAAATATTGTCAAGTGACTAAAGCTAACAATTGTTTAACTACTGAAATAAATAAATTGAATTCGTAGTTTTAATAAATAAACTGTATATTATATATATATGTATGTATGTATATACATATTATAGTCATATAAAAATAATAATTCATAATTTATTGGTTCTACAATTAATTTTAATGATCTCACAATTATACAATCGTCGCGTGAAAATTAAAAGTTTCTAACGTAAAGTAAATATTTTTCGGTATAAAAATAAAGTTATCATACAGTTGTTTGTAACTTTACATTTGTATTACTGTTAACTCGCTTTATAATAAGTGTAATGACTTCAATTATGATGGAAAATAATCATAATTATATTTTTACATATTTATTGTAATTATATAGTATTATACAATACTGTATATATTGTCAATACAATCGCGTTAAAATATTTTCATTCTAAGGAAAAGTTCTATCAATAATGTTTTTTTAGCTTCGATGCGAAGCTGAGAAGGTATTCGTTTTACTATGATGTGTTTTTTTTTTTTTTTTTTTTTTTTTTTTTTTCCA